GGCACAAATTGTCCAGTCCATATCATCCACAAAGCCAAGGTGGACTTGAACGTTTCCACCAGACTTTGAAACAAATGCTAAAGACAACCGGAGAAACTCATCCACGTAATTGGGATGAGAATCTCCCCTTTGTGTTGTTTGCTGCTAGAGAAGGGCTACAAGAGTCATTGGGCTGTTCACCCTTTGAACTAGTGTTTGGTCACCAAGTAAGAGGTCCTCTTAAAATGCTACAAGAAAAGTTGTTGGGAGATGTCTCTGTTCATCAGAGCGGATTGTACTTGAGCGAGGTCAAGGCTAAGTTGTGTCGGGCTCGTGAGTTGGCGAAAGAACATCTGGGACGGACTCAACAAGCCATGAAAGTACGATATGACAAGAAGTTCAAGGCTAAGCTAAGGTCGTTTGATGTCGGAGATTTGGTGTTGGTGTTGAAACCTCGTATGGGGACTTCCATGTCCCATAAGTTCGCAGGACCCTACCAAGTGGTAGACAAGGTGGGAGACCTAACTTATAAACTAATTAACCCTAATCTTTCAGAACCCCAAATGACTGTGCACATTAACAGATTAAAAGCTTATGTTGGACCTGGTGTAGTAGCTTGTTTTAGTCGGGAAGAGTTACCACCTGAGGATAATTGTAGTGAGGGACATGTTGTTAATATCCCACTTCTCAGTTCCAGTTCCAATGGCAGGGAGATGCTATGTCATTTACAGGAGGAACAACGTGATGAGTTCCAGGTTCTGCTGGACAACCATACATCTCTGTTTGGGGAGGTTCCTACCCAGACCCACCTCATCACACACGACATTCAGCTCCTGGACAGCACCCCCATTCGACAACATCCGTACCGAGTGAATCCCGAAAAGAGGAAAATTATGCAAGCAGAAGTGGAATATCTGCTCCAGCATGATTTCATTCGGCCAAGTCAAAGTACTTGGAGCTCTCCGTGTTTGTTAGTGCCAAAACCAGATGGAACCTGGAGATTGTGCGTGGATTACAGGAAACTGAACAAGAACACTACAGTGGACGTTTTTCCTTTACCCTTGTTGGAAGAATGTATAGAGTCCATAGGTCATGCCGAATATGTAAGTAAGCTTGATTTGTCAAAAGGGTATTATCAAATTCCATTAACAGAGTATGCTAGAGAGGTTACTGCTTTTGTTACACCTGATGGTGCGTATGAATTTAATGTCATGCCATTCGGTTTGAGAAATGCACCTGCTACTTTTCAAAGACTTATGAATTTCTTACTCAAGGATGTGCCAGATTGTAGGGCCTACCTTGATGACATTGTTTTGTACAGTAAGAATTGGGCCGATCATCTCTTAGGCCTTAAGAACTTGTTTACAGTGTTAGAAAACGCAAAGTTAACCATAAATATGAATAAGTGTAGTTGGGCAAAAGGTACGATAACTTATCTTGGCCACGAGGTGGGACAAGGTAAGATTATCCCCTTACAAGATAAGATTCAAGCCATTGTGGACTACCCAGTGTTGACCAATAAGAAAGGAGTCCAACGGTTTATTGGTATGTGTGCATACTATAGGCGTTATTGTAGAAATTTTTCAACAGTAGCTGCTCCTTTGACAAACTTGTTACGCAAGCAAGTAAAGTTTCAGTGGACACAAGATTGTCAGAATGCTTTTCAGAACCTAAAGGGCATATTGTCCACCTCACCTATTCTTGCTAGTCCCCAATTTGATAAACCATTTATATTACACATTGATGCGTCAGATGTTGGGATAGGTGCTGTGCTTATTCAAGTTGGTTTAGACCAGATTGAGCATCCTGTGTATTACTATTCCAGAAAATTTAATGCAGCTCAGAGAAATTATTCCGTGGTAGAAAAGGAGGCGTTGGGTCTTATATTGTCAATCAAGAAGTTTGAGATTTACTTATCAGGAAATAAAGTGTTAGTATTTACAGACCACAACCCCTTATCTTTATAAATATGATGAAAGTCAAGAACCAACGAATTCTGCGATGGTCATTGTTTTTGCAGGAATTTAATGTAGAAATCAAACATATTCCAGGCAGACAAAATGTTATTGCTGATGCTTTGTCAAGAAGTTTTGATGTACCATAAATGAAATGTTTCTTTTACCTAACATTTTTACTTCTGAAAAAATGCCATTGATCTTCAATCCATTGCATTTTTTTTCTTGGAGGTGGAAGTGTTACGTACCCTTATAAGATACGTAAGTGAATATATTAATATGTACATTTATAATTGTATGTAAATTACAAGCATGTATATTGTATACTTATGTTCTATGCAAATGCACATTCATGTTACAGTGTTGGCGTTAGGCCCAGCGTATCGTGGGAATGATTGTTTATTTCTTTGTGTGATCAGTTTTCCCACGGGAACTAATGATTTATATGTGATCATAAGTGGGTAACAGAGTGAAATAATAATTGAGTGAACTGTATCTGGCAAATTGTCGTGGGATCGTCCGTTGCTGGGTGTGCATGCCATTATTTCTTTCTGTATGCATATTTTAATTACTATGTAAAGAAACACGTACTTTTGTTGTCTATATCAATATGTACTAATTATTCATTAAGTTAGTTTAAGATTACTCTTGTCACAATATAGTGCTCCATTGTTGAAATAATAAATATTGTAACTTTGGCAATTTATTCGCGGGGCAAGGCAATGTGTTTTTTGACTCGCATATTGTAGTTCAGTAGCTGAGCAGAAACCAGGGAGATATCATCTTGGAGTTAAGTCATTCTTTTATTCTAGCCATATAATTATTCTTAGTATTGATTTAATGTCTGGAAGTTACAGTGATATTTTTAATGTGATATATTGTGACCATATAATCATCTGTTTGCCTTTGAGATTTATTTAATATAAATGATATATATATGCTTAGTCTTTATTCTTCAGTCCTATGAAGATTCTATTTTATGCTCATTACCCATTAAGGGGTTATACTGGTGATTCGCTATTGAGAACAGCAGTTGTGTCGTATCCCTAGACTTATTAAAGTTTGGCTGCTGTAGGATCACGAGCCGTAACGTACGATAGGTAACAGAGACCAGGGCGAGAACCGGGCCACGGAGACGTTGAGCTCCGGAAAAAAACATAAGGTAACTGCTAAAGTTGGATGATATAAGAGTAATTAGTAGAGACCCAGGAGTTAGTGAGCCATTGTGGGTTGCATGCTGGGGGTAGAGACCCAGGAGTTAGTGAGCCATTGTGGGTTGCATGCTGGGGGTAGAGACCCAGGAGTTAGTGAGCCATTGTGGGTTGCATGCTGGGGAAGGCAAGTCTTTAACAATGGGATCATCCCTAGCCACAGACTAGCCACAGCCACAGACTAGCCACAGCCACAGACTAGCCTTGATCGCACTAACAGCCTTCCTCTTTCCCCAACATCACCATCCTTGTCCTCCACTGCTATTCTTCCACACCAAGGAGCACCCCACAAACCTACCAAAGTCCTCCTCGACATAAAATACACCTCCCTAAACAGCAGCAGACTGATGAGGCTGCACATTGACAACCCTCCCCCACCCCTTTCTCCCTCCCTCTCTCTCCCTCCCCTCCCCCCTGGTGGTAACACATCTCTCAGGCGGAGGGAGACGCACAATTACCCCCCCCCCTCCAGCCTCCTAACAATTCTCTGTATCATCAATTTAAAATGAGAGCAACTAATGCAGACTCAACAGCACTGGCGGGCTCTGACGAACCCCCCCCCCCCCCCCAGCACCTGACTGTGACTACCCATCACCTCTCTGGTAGTGTCATAGAAACTATAATTGTCTTGCCAGCCTATATGACTGTCCCAAGTCACAGCCCTGCTCCAGTGCCAGTAAATCCACTACGGGCTCACCATAGCCAGTCCTGCTTGCTACGTTGTTCCCATTAGCTCAATCTTAAACAACAACAACAACATGACTGTCGTTCTTGCCTCCCAGCCCTGTGCATACAGTATTCTCACGCATGTGTGTGTGTGTGTATTCACCTAGTTGTGTTTGCGGGAGTTGAGCTTTGCTCTTTCGGCCCGCCTCTCAACTGTCAATCAACTGTTTACTAACTTTTTTTTTCTCCACACCACACACACACACACACCAGGAAGCAGCCCGTGACAGCTGACTAACTCCCAGGTACCTATTTACTGCTAGGTAACAGGGGCATTCAGGGTGAAAGAAACTTTGCCCGTTTGTTTCTGCCTGGTGTGGGAATCGAACCCGCGCCACAGAATTACGAGTCCTGCGTGCTATCCACCAGGCTACCAGGCCCCTCGGGGTGTGCACAGGACCTCACAGCTGAGTAGACAGTGCTTGGGGTCGTAGTCCTAATGGCCTGGGTTAGATTCCCGGCCGAGGAGGAAACAAATGGGCACAGTTTTTCACCCTTATGCCCCTGTACACCTAGCAGTAACTAGGTACCTGGGTGTTAAACAGCTGCTATGGACTGCTTCCTGGGTGTGGGTGTGTGTGTGTGTGTGTATTAGAGAAAAATGTATAGTGTATATGTACTGGAGAAAAAATAGATTGGCTAGAAAGGCGGGGTCCAAGTGCTAATAGCTCGATTCTGCAGAAACAAATGGTAAATACACACACATTTGACAGCAGAAACCAAGAAAAATACAATACAATTCAAAAATAGAAACCATAGCAACAATATCTCACCTGGTGTTACCTTTAATACAAACTGCATTGCCTATACTGGTGACCAGGATTGGTGAAGTCTTTATGCATCACTTACTAAGGCTATACATCTCTGTAATCATATTGGCTTTGTTTACCATCATGTAACAGTTTCCGAGCTTGAAAACAACCTCATAGTACTTCGTAGCTCAAAGTGCTGAATAAATGTATACAAAGCTGCCATGATTAAGGAAAGATGTACAGGTTTTGTAAGTGAACACAAGTGCTTCAAGACTGGTGCCCAGATAGGATGAGCAAGGGTAGGACGGTCAGCCACTGGAGGCGAGCATCAGCACCTGTAGGAACCATGAGGGGGAAAACAAGAGCCGGGTACTCACATGTTTTGTACGCGTCCTTGACCAGGTCAGAGTCGAGGGCGTGGTGCATCTCGTAGAGGGAGCGGCCCATCAGCTCCTCCGTTGTGTACCCGCAGTACTCTCCCACGCTGTGAGGTGACAACACACACACACAAATGGTTATCTTAGTCTCTTGTTATACCTTACACCCCCACACACCTCCCTCCCATGCTGTGGGTCAACAACACACACACACCCATGGTTATCAAGTAATAGGACTCGTTACTGAGATTAGTCAGTAGCTCCTGGGTTCTAGCCACTAGGTACCACGACTAATCATTAGCTACTGGGTCTAGGTACTAGGATCATGTACTGTACTTTAAATACTGAGCAGTCCAATACTAGTAGAGGTTTGTAATTTTTTTTATCGTTTTGTGAATGTTAGTTGATGTTAGTTTTTTTCCGGTCTGGTATGATTGTTTGAGGTTCTGCTCTTTCTTGAAGTTCCAAGTTTAGATCACTTTGTCTTTGTTGAGATATTCATGCCTGCTTAAGCATTTGTCATTCTTTATATTACATTAGAAAAAGTCTCTAAATTGGTCCTCTTTCTTGTTTTTTTTTTCAGCAAAACCTATTTCAAGCAGACTTTATCTGTTTCAGCAGTAAAATGTTGTATCCTGGACCTGGGTTGTACGTGGAGATAGTTTTGGGAGTTGTTCTACTCCGCGAGCCCAGCCTGAGGCCAGGCTTCACCTGTGAGACTTTGATCCAACAGGCTGTTGCTTGGAGCGGCCTGCAGGCTCACACACTCCTTGTGGACGTTTTGGTAATTAGTACAATTTCCAAATGTATGTTCTTTGTTTCTAATTAATCCTTTTATTGTTCAAAATTGTATTTACTGAACATCCCTTCTCGCTCCTTATTTCTTTGTGATGCATTACAGTACGTTGCTTATATATGCATGATACCTCCTTGATGGGGTTCTGGGAGTTCTTCTACTCCCCCCAAGCCAGGCCTCACCTGTGAGACTTTGGTCCAACATGCTGTTGCTTGGAGCAGTTTTGTTGAAGGTTTTGAAGTTCTTGGTGTATTATTGTTCTTGAGTTGCTTGTATGCAATCAAAGGTTATAGTCATCTTCAAAGGTGGATTCTTTGGCTAACTCATCACCTCTATCTTGCTTTTGGAGGACAACATGAGAGGAAATCGAAATGTAAAGAACTCAATTTTCATCACTAATTTTTTTATATTCTTGTTTGAAACTAGACACAAATACATTACAATTGTCTTAATTCTTTAAGAGCAATTAAGGATGATACAGATTCGCATACAATTCATGCATCAAATTTGGAGACGTGTATATATTTCAGTGCAAGAAGCAAGGCAAATAATTTGGTGCCTCCTTGATGGGGTTCTGTGAGTTCTACTCCCCAATCCTGGCCCGAGGCCAGGCTTGACTTGTGAGAGCTTGGTAGACCAGGCTGTTGCTTGGAGTGGCCTGCAGGCCCACATATCCACCAAAGCCCGGTTGGTCCGGCACTTCTTGAAGAAAACTACAGGTATCTAGTTTTATCTCGAAGTCAACAATTATTCTGGCAATATTTCTTATACTTGCTGGGAGAATGTTGAACAACCGTGGACCTCTGATATTTAAAGAGTTTTCTGATTGTGCCAATGGCACTCCTGCTCTTCACTGGTTCTATTTTGCATTTTCTTCCATGACATTCATTCTAGTAAGTTGTTATTTTACTGTGTTGATTTGGGACCTGGCCCTCCAGTACTTTCCACGTGTATATTATTTTATCTCTCTCATCTCCTTCCTAGTGAGTACATTTGGAGAGCTTTGAGACTACCTCAATAATTTAGGAGCTTTATCGTGTCTATGTATGTCGTATATGTTCTATGTAATCCCTCTATTTCAGAAATCTCTCCTGCTCTGAAGAGGAAAGTGAGTACTGTGCAGTACTCAAGATGGGACAACACAAGTGATTTGAAGAGCACAACCATTGTGATGAGATCCCTGGATTAGAAAGTTCTCGTAATCCATCCTATAATTTTTCTGGCTGATTTAATATTTGCTTGGTTATGCTCCCGAAACGTTAGGTCGTCAGACATCATTATTCCCAAATCCTTTACATGTTGCTTTCCTACTATGGGCAGATTTGATTGTGTTTTTTACACAGTATCATGTTTAAGGTTCTCATTTTTACCATACCTGAGTACCTGAAATTTATCACTGTTAAACATCATGTTTTTTCTGCTGCTCATCGAAAACTTTATTAATATCTGCTGAGCTACATAGTCATATTGGCTTAGCACTTTTTTCCTCATAATTACCTCACCTCTCTTCTCCGTTCCAGAGTATATCCTGAGATCTTTAAGGTGATTCCAAGGCTTAAATGTTTTACTTCATCTGTGTGTGTGCAGTAAATGTTCACAAAATACTTTCCAGTTCAGAAAACTTTCCTGCCTTGACAGGATGTGAACATAGAACACAGATGAAGTGGATGATCGCTGGAGCGATATCCCTTGTTTTCCAGGTTCTCAGCCCAGCCCATTATTGGACAATTGTTGACATGTGAATGCAACTTCCTGTATCTTCCAAAGAGGCAACACTTATACTAAATTTTGGTATCATCTGCAAAGGATGACATATGAAGCTGTGGTGTGTGTTGGTGTCTATATCAGATGTGAGGATGAGAATGTAACACTGTAAGGATAGTGTCTTGTGGAACTGTATTTGGGCATAATTTAATATGATTTACTATCATTTATGGCAGTTAGTTTTTTTAGAAATTTAGATATCTGCTTCCTTATTTTACTTTTTATTCATTTTGAAAATATTTTACATTTTATGGATTATTACTCTGTGGTCACATTTGTTACACCTTTGTATACATCATGTGATTATTGGCATCATATTACACCAGTGATTTTACTGAAAAAAAATTATTTTTGAGTAACAGTTGACAATTTAATTGAGGAAATATTAAGGTGATCTACAAATGGGACCAAGAAACAATGGAATCATGAGAATGGGAGGACTGAAGATAGGGGGGACGTACAAATGGAGGAATGTATGGGTAGGGGAACATGTAGGTAGGGACCCTAATGGGTAGAGCTGGGTAGGGACCCATATGGGTAGGTTAGGTAGAAACCCTTATAGATAAGTTGGGTAGGAACCCTCCAACCCGTCCTCAGGGGGTATGCAACTGTGATAATTAGCACAACTAGCCTACTTTTGCATTATGATTATAGTACCAAAATACAGAATATAATTAGTGCTTTAATGTACAGTACTTCCTATCCTTTCTTAGATTAAGGTTGGGTTAGGTGTACTGCCAGTGTATTGCATCATGAAACATGTTAAATTCTGAATTGCTTGAATATCCCCAAGAATCTGACATTCAAGAAAATGTTCACCTTAGGGCTCATCAAGGAAAGCATGTATACCAGAGACTTAGTAAATTATAAAGCCTGTTATATAAAAAAACAGTTAACTGGGTTAACCCAGATATACAGTTATAGCTTGAGAAAAATGTCTGTTTAGGACAAGGTTTGCTTGTCCTTTAACAAAAGACTATTAATGGAAGCTTAATAAGCCTTCAGAGCATCTACAATATCTAGGAAAGTATCCAGGTGGTTTAAACAGGGAGGCTGGACATTGACTTGAATCACTAAGCCCAGTTCATAAATGCATTTTCTAACCTGTAGTATAGTGTACTGTGTGTACTTAATTCTTTAATGAACTAATCTGAGGATGGGCTAGGACCATTAAAAGTAGGGGCCTTTATGGGTAGTGACTTATTGTAGGGGGACCCTTATGAGCAGGTAGACATATGGGTAGAGGGACATATGCATAGTAACCCTTAAAGGTAGGATAGACCAAGACAAAGGAAGACAATGGGGGGGGGGGAGGTAGTGGTACTTGAAGTTAAGGTAAACCAATGAGTACTAGCATGACTTACTTGTCATCGACGTAGGTAAACTTCATGTCGAGGGAGTGCTTGCTGACGAATGTTTGCTTGTCCAGCGGGAACTCTATGTTGGATGGGTGAGGTACAGGAGTGCCCAGAGCCACCAGCCATGCCTGCTCCTCTCCTCCCACTAGCTCCCCGCTCACCTGCACCACCTGTAGACACAAACACCTGTTACTACACCTGCATCACTTGTTATGACACCTGCACTATTGTGACCCCAAGAGATGAATGAATTCATTTAGGTATGAGTCACTATGTAGTATGCCTGGTCAAGTATATTATCAGCACTGTAGGAGTCAGCTATTTATGAGAAGCAGGTGTTTATGAAGGTGGATATGAGACAATAGGATGCCAGTATGTGTGTGTGAGCCCTCTATCACAGGGACTCTTACCATTTTACGATTATAGAACCTCAATGGATTACCCAATATGCCCCCATACCCACAACTGATAACCCAGCATGTCATCATGCCCACAACTCATTACCCAGCATGTCGCCATACCCACAACTAATTACCCATCATGTCGTCATACTCACAACTCATTACCCATCATGTCTCCATACCCCCTTTGCCAGACTCAAAATCCTCATCACCAATTTTAATAGGTATCAATGACTTCAGAGGATGTCAAGAGCTTGGATTTACCTTACATTGCTAGAAACTAGCAAGAAACTAATATAGCTAGTTATAGCTATATTAGTTCATAGTATATAGCTAGAAACGCAACAGCTAAAATAAAATTATAAGAATTATGACATTTATACAAAACAGCAAATCACAAATACACAGGTTAGTGAGAATTTTGTTGTTTTTGGGCGATTAAATCTGAGCCATTGAGGTAATTACTGGTGGTAATAGTTGATTCTAGTCAATCTACAACTTTTTTAAACTGTTTAGAAATCGAGTCCCATACCCGCAATAAGTATGGATACTAAATAGGAGTATGGGATATGTATCCCCAAGGAGGAAGTATGGATACTCCTGGTTAAGAACTCCTGCTAAAGCTTCCTTATGTTATGAGAAGCTGGCAGCCACTTGAAGGACCTGGCACAACCTCAAGCCAGCAGATGGCTGGAAGTGCACACCTTATGATAAGCTGAGGCACAATGGACACCAGGTCATGAGAGTTGCCGGAGAGGACGTCACAGATGTGACATTGTTGACAATGTTGACGAGGTAAGTAGCTCCGGCCTGGACCCCAACAAAGTCAATAACCCAGTAAACAAGAACGTAGGTGATGGATAAGCTGCAGTAGGCCTATTAACCCATGCAACACTTCACATCTCTCTTATATATTTGGCTGCTTCAGTTAAATTGTATTCACTTCTACTCTGCCTTTAAAAATGTTAAGAGGATCAACGACATGTATCCATTAAGGCTGCCCAAAATGACACTGCAAAATGAACTTTAGAGTTTTTTTTTTTTGTTCAACTTGTCAACAGAAGCACTGAAACATCTGTATGGGTTTCTTAACCCCCCTTTGTCCTCCCCCCTTCCCACCTCTCCCCCATCCCCCTCATCCCCTTGGTCCCCAGTCATCCTCCCCACCCTTACCTTATTCTCCTTCTCATCCTCTCCACTTCCCCCCATCCCCCCTCCTCCACTTTGCCTCTCTTTCCCCACACTCAGAAAATATATTATTAGAAACCAATGAAACTACTGTATGGGCCTCAGAAAATATTTATATGATGAAAAAGTCTTGGGGCATCACAACCAATATTTCACACTTAATCTCACTTGACTCTAGGAAAATCAGATGGGGAGGGTGTCAATAATTACTAATATTAAATAATTTACATTAGGCCTACCCAAACCAGCCTACCTCCATCCCATACGCCAGACCATTTCCCCACAAATTTGAGAGAAGCAACTTTGAACGGAAACACACACACATTCAATCCAGTTCTGCATTCTCTTTAGGTCAGTGATTTTTGCATCCAGGACCTCCTCAATTGTATGCGAGCCAATAAGGGCACCCAGGAGGGTACAGTTACCTGATTCAATGATATAAATGTTTAGCAGAACAGTTTGTATTTGTTCAGTAATATCTGGGTTGGGAACACTTTCACACTTGGATGGAATGAGAATGAGACCTGAGCAAGTCCTGCTCCTGGATTTTCCTTATATACTGACTAAGTGTTAACTTCATCCTGTTGTTGTGTGCTCCCGTGCCAGTAACCTTGGAGACTGATGCACGACTATTGCTGATAATTAACACGTCAATAATACATAATAAAACACTGAAATGTGAGTGTAAACACAAGAGCATATGATGAGATACCGTTACAGCTGTTGACAGCGGACACACTCATTAATACATTAACCACATGACACCTATATGACAAGTGTGAGAGTGTCTAAGTATAGAGAAGGCAGACCCACCTTGTAGGAGGCACTCTTGAGGTTGACGGAGCGACCCTTGGCAGTAAGAGTACACTTGAGCCTAAGGAAGGCGTGACGAGGTTCGTGGTGCTCCTTGACAGACATGAGCTCCCGCACCTCCTCGTGGTCGCAGGGATGTGTGTACTCGTACAGTGACTGGCCCATCACGTCCACCTGTAACGCAGTCATGCACGTTAGTCTATAGTGTTATCTATGTGAAATAACTCGCCACAACATCACAAGTCAAGCCTGGCCCAGGGACTGGGCTTGGCGAGAAGAACAACTCCTACAACCCCTTCCAGGTATAATCCAGGTACAACATGGCAAGACAGAGTTTAGCAATGAGAATAACATACATTAACAAAGTCTGAAAATAAACAAGAAAACAAAATTAGTGAATAAACCAATGTAGTCTAACCCAAGCGAGCCTAAATGATGCTAACAGCCTATGGTAAGCTAATACATCCTAGCCTAATGATATGTAAGGTTTTGACAGTAGGAAAATGAGCTTTGAGGAGCCGTGTTGAGTAATGAGAAGAAAGCCTGGTCTGAGGGCTCGCCTCTGGACTTTCTCTAGCGTCGTGCTGTCCTTAAAGAGATAAGGACTCCACAGAGTCCACAGGTACTGTGTATTCCAGTACCTCTGTGGAGGTACTGGCAAGGGGTAAACACTCCTACATAATACATGGTCCGGCTTTAGAAAAAAATTCTTTATGTGGGAAAATTTTGCACTTGCGGAAGGTAAGTTATCAGGGCCAGGATTTATCATGTACTTACGTCTACACTTACACAACTTACACACTTTTCCCCACCAAAGTGGCGTACTTTGGATTTATTAAACAGTTTACTAGCACGGTAACTTTGTAACCTAATTTATTATTATTATTATCCTGGTTATTATACTGCACATCCTCCCCCACCCACACCCCCACCTGGACTCTACCAATAAGCTGTGCCAGGAGTTTTTGTTCTAACTTATTCTGGTGCACAGTGGATGGTGTTGGTGCCTCGATCCTATCTGGAGCACGTGGGGCACCCTCCAGGAGGGCACGTGGTGCACCGCCCAGGAGGGCACGTGGGGCACCGCCCAGGAGGGCACGTGGTGCACCGCCCAGGAGGGCACGTGGGGCACCGCCCAGGAGGGCACGTGGGGCACCGCCCAGGAGGGCACGTGGGGCACCGCCCAGGAGGGCACGTGGGGCACCGCCCAGGAGGGCACGTGGGGCACCGCCCAGGAGGGCACGTGGGGCACCGCCCAGGAGGGCACGTGGGGCACCGCCCAGGAGGGCACGTGGGGCACCGCCCAGGAGGGCACGTGGGGCACCGCCCAGGAGGGCACGTGGGGCACCGCCCAGGAGGGCACGTGGGGCACCGCCCAGGAGGGCACGTGGGGCACCGCCCAGGAGGGCACGTGGGGCACCGCCCAGGAGGGCACGTGGGGCACCGCCCAGGAGGGCACGTGGGGCACCGCCCAGGAGGGCACGTGGGGCACCGCCCAGGAGGGCACGTGGGGCACCGCCCAGGAGGGCACGTGGGGCACCGCCCAGGAGGGCACGTGGGGCACCGCCCAGGAGGGCACGTGGGGCACCGCCCAGGAGGGCACGTGGGGCACCGCCCAGGAGGGCACGTGGGGCACCGCCCAGGAGGGCACGTGGGGCACCGCCCAGGAGGGCACGTGGGGCACCGCCCAGGAGGGCACGTGGGGCACCGCCCAGGAGGGCACGTGGGGCACCGCCCAGGAGGGCACGTGGGGCACCGCCCAGGAGGGCACGTGGGGCACCGCCCAGGAGGGCACGTGGGGCACCGCCCAGGAGGGCACGTGGGGCACCGCCCAGGAGGGCACGTGGGGCACCGCCCAGGAGGGCACGTGGGGCACCGCCCAGGAGGGCACGTGGGGCACCGCCCAGGAGGGCACGTGGGGCACCGCCCAGGAGGGCACGTGGGGCACCGCCCAGGAGGGCACGTGGGGCACCGCCCAGGAGGGCACGTGGGGCACCGCCCAGGAGGGCACGTGGGGCACCGCCCAGGAGGGCACGTGGGGCACCGCCCAGGAGGGCACGTGGGGCACCGCCCAGGAGGGCACGTGGGGCACCGCCCAGGAGGGCACGTGGGGCACCGCCCAGGAGGGCACGTGGGGCACCGCCCAGGAGGGCACGTGGGGCACCGCCCAGGAGGGCACGTGGGGCACCGCCCAGGAGGGCACGTGGGGCACCGCCCAGGAGGGCACGTGGGGCACCGCCCAGGAGGGCACGTGGGGCACCGCCCGCCCAGGAGGGCACGTGGGGCACCGCCCAGGAGGGCACGTGGGGCACCGCCCAGGAGGGCACGTGGGGCACCGCCCAGGAGGGCACGTGGGGCACCGCCCAGGAGGGCACGTGGGGCACCGCCCAGGAGGGCACGTGGGGCACCGACCAGGAGGGCACGTGGGGCACCGCCCAGGAGGGCACGTGGGGCACCGCCCAGGAGGGCACGTGGGGCACTATCCAGGAGGGCACGTGGTGCACTATCCAGGAGGGCACGTGGTGCACCGCCCAGGAGGGCACGTGGGGCACCATCCAGGAGGGCACGTGGGGCACCATCCAGGAGGGCACGTGGGGCACCATCCAGGAGGGCACGTGGGGCACCGCCCAGGAGGGCACGTGGGGCACCGCCCAGGAGGGCACGTGGGGCACCGCCCAGGAGGGCACGTGGGGCACCACCCAGGAGGGCACGTGGGGCACCACCCAGGGGGCACATGGGGCACCGCCCAGGAGGGCACGTGGGGCACCACCCAGGGGGCACATGGGGCACCTGGCATATACCTTGCTACTAAATTCTTTAAAGACTAAGGCAGTGCAATTATATACTGTGACTCGCAGAATTCACTTCAATTTGTTTAACTGCTAAATAGATTTTACATTAAATTCCTCAGGGTTGAGTTCCATGCTGTCATCTCAAAACATGATTCTGCTGACATGCTGGTAAAGCAACCCGTTCTCGCAAATTCGTAAAGTCAATATTGACTTATTAAATATGTGCATAGGTGACATACTTAACATATAGATACCCTTAAAAAGATTCATAGAAAACACCGACCTTACCTAACCTTGTTAGTATCTTAAGATAAGCATCTTATTGCTTCGTAATTACAATTATTACTTAACCTATACCTATTATAGGTTAGGTAATAATTGTAATTACGAAGCAATAAGATGCTTATCTTAAGATACTAACAAGGTTAGGTAAGGTCGGTGTTTTCTATGAATCTTTTTAAGGGTATCTATTATGTTAAGTATGTCACCTATGCACATATTTAATAAGTCAATATTGACTTATTAACTTGCGAGAACGGGTTGGGTAAAGACAGCAGGCAGTAGGCCAGTAGTGGTAGAAATGAATATCAGTGTTTCATTACCATGACAAAGATAATACTTAAACTAATCTCAGAGGAAAATCTTATTAACCTAATTCACAAAGACCTACACATGTAGCATTAAGCATTATCATGCACACCGCGGGGAGACATGTATATAGGGAAGTAATAGAGCAAGAACTTGGCAATGTGGTGTTATTGTGGTCAAAATACATCTGGGATATAGAGGTATCTGGCAGCTGGCTGAAGACTCAAGTGTCCAATACACCAGGTGTCAACTTTGTGAAAGTGTCCAATACACCAGGTGTCAACTTTGTGAAAGTGTCCAATACACCAGGTGTCAACTTTGTGAAAGTGTCCGATACACCAGGTGTCAACTTTGTGAAAGTGTCCGATACACCAGGTGTCAACTTTGTGAAAGTGTCCGATACACCAGGTGTCAACTTTGTGAAAGTGTCCAATACACCAGGTGTCAACTTTGTGAAAGTGTCCAATACACCAGGTGTCAACTTTGTGAAAGTGTCCAATACACCAGGTGTCAACTTTGTGAAAGTGTCCAATACACCAGGTGTCAACTTTGTGAAAGTGTCCAATACACCAGGTGTCAACTTTGTGAAAGTGTCCAATACACCAGGTGTCAACTTTGTGAAAGTGTCCGATACATGAGCTATTAAAAAGCCTGTTCTGAAGGGAAAAGAGCACTGGCACAAGAGCAGTGTTGTGAGGGGAAGAGTACTGTTGGAAGTAAAGTGTAATATGTGTATTCCAGGGGGGAGAGACAGACAGACAGACAGACAGACAGACAGACAGACAGAGACACAAGCCTCACACACTAACCTGAGGCAGGCCGAGGAAGGCCACAATGTTCTCGGAGGTGAAGACAATGTCGCCGTCGGTGGAGAGGACGAGGAGGAACCCGTCCAGCGCCTTGAGCAGCAGTCCGTCCATCTCGATATCCAGCTTGCTGCCTCCGCCCTCACCCGTCTTGCTGAACCCTGTCACAAACACCACAAACACTTAGTTCCCACAGCTCTCACCCGTCTTGCTCACCCGTCACAAACACCACAGCTCTCACCCGTCTTGCTCACCCGTCACAAACACCACAGCTCTCACCCGTCTTGCTCACCCGTCACAAACACCACAGCTCTCACCCGTCTTGCTCACCCGTCACAAACACCACAGCTCTCACCCGTCTTGCTCACCCGTCACAAACACCACAGCTCTCACCCGTCTTGCTCACCCGTCACAAACACCACAGCTCTCACCCGTCTTGCTCACCCGTCACAAACACCACAGCTCTCACCCGTCTTGCTCACCCGTCACAAACACCACAGCTCTCACCCGTCTTGCTCACCCGTCACAAACACCACAGCTCTCACCCGTCTTGCTCCAACCCGTTCTCGCACTTTCTTACAGTCAATATTGACTTATTTAATAAGTGCATTATGTGACATACTAATTTATTGTGAATATTTTAGTTTACCTTGAAAAGCTTCATAGAAAACACCGACCTTACCTAACCTTCTTAGTATGTTAAGATAAGCATCTTATTGCTTCGTAATTACAATTATTACAAGTCAATATTGACTTTACAAAAGTGCGAGAACGGGTTGCTTGTATGTCCCTAAACCACCCCAATGTTAACGTTGGGGTCGATAGTGTAACAAATTTAATTTATTTACATATTTACAGTTTACACATGACAACATTGCGGGCTTTAACACCACCAGGATAACACAACGCCTCAAAACCGGTTTATCAGGCTTGACCTAAAAACCTGTCCGGTTATTGCGGTGCGCGTGCGCGTGCGTCTCCGTCAGAGAGTGAGTACTATCACCCCCCCCCCACACACACACCCACCAGTACCCTAACACACATCATTGGGTGTGGCGGCCAGCCAGGAATACCTCCGGGCCAACACCTTGCCCCACTACCTGCCAGGCTAAGGCTCATCCTCCCACACAATAAGGAGGAAGAGTGAGCCTTCGGTCCCCCTGGGAGTGAGGAACTGACTGAGCGCCACGGATGACAAATGTGTGCACCAAAGGGCATTAACCTAGCCAGTTGAGGGAAGGAGGGGGAAAGGTAGGGGGAGAAGGTATAAAGGTAGGGGAAGTAGGTAAGAAGGTAGGAGAGGGGGCAGAACAGTGGCAGGGGAAAAAGGGGAGGGGGGGGGATGGAAGAATGTATCAATAAACGAGCAGGAAACACATTAACAAATCTAACATTATTTGCTCTGCCCAAATTTTCGTGATGGTGACCAAGATGGCGGATAACGTGCGATAACACTGGAAATAACTTTCCTGTTCCCACTTAACTTTACAACTCGCATCACCGTGACAAGATAACTGAGGAAAGGAGGATAGAAGCACAAACCAGTGAATCTATACGCTGGTACAACATGGTTGCAGCTGGCAATCCCAATCATTATGGACGAAGAGGAGGAGGAGGACGAGGGAGAGAATCAGTAATAGCGAGAATCCGTTTTGGATACAAATATCCATGGAGATTCGGGATGGAAACAACAGTTGAGCAGCGAAGTTGCAGCATCTCTGGTGAGTGATGGACACGGCCTTGACCACTACCTGTGAGTGTGTGGACAACTGAGAGACATTAGAAATGTGTAGCATAGTAAATCCCACATTGTTTGACTTATGAAAATATTATCTGTTAAACATAAATGCTGTTCTCAAAAGATTCCCCCATTTTACACCCGCAAGCTAACGTAAGTTTTTAAGGGTTGACAAATGTTAATCTTGTTTGATAAACTGTTCACTTGAAACAGTTAAGCAAGTCCCAGCTGTGTCTGGGTACAAGTGACAGGATGAACAACCCAGCGGGTTTTCTTCCCATTGGGGAGTGTTGTACATGCTGCTATGGCAGCGTGTCCACTCACGCTGGCGCTGCCCAATAAACTCGACCCTCGGAGTAAAAACTAAAAAAAAAAAAAAACTCCCCCCCCCCCCCCCCGATCCCGGCTCTTACACAACTGTCGCGCTGAGCTTCGCCAACTAAGGCAAGTGGGCCGACAAGGTCACCTGAACGAGGCGAAGAAACAGGTAGTCACGTGGGAGGGGGAGTGGTATGTGGAGCACGAGGGGGGGGGGTTAGAAGGCAGGGGGGGGGTAGAAGGTAGGTGGGGGGTGATAAGTAGGAGGAGGATAGGGAGCAACGAATGGGAAAGGGGAGCAGGAGAGGGGAATAACAAGAAAGGGAAAAAGAGAAAGCAGGAAAGAGGACACAGATGGAGAAAGCTGGAAAAGAAAGTGAGTGGCAGAAATGTCAGGAAATAGTGGTAAACGTGTACGGGCGGTCAACACGTGGGATGGCCTGGAAGAGGAGGTTGTGGAAGCCACCTCCGTCAACAACGGCCAGAATCGACGGGAATTTCGTGTGAGAGGAAACAATAAAATAACGCAAAGGGTACAAGGCTAGCACAACTCTTTCCGACAAGAGGAAACTAGATTGTTTCCTCAAAGGAGTGCCGGACCAACCGGGCTGTGGTGGGTATGTGGGCCTGCGGGCCGCTCCAAGCAACAGCCTGGTGGACCAAACTCTCACAAGTCAAGCCTGGCCTCGGACCGGGAAGTAGAAGAACTTCCAGAACCCCATCAACCAGGTATCAAGAGAAGGATGAAGTGATTGTAGAAGAGGGGAATAAAACAGAGGGAGAAACAGTAAAAGTTATATGGACAACATATATAGAAACAACAAATTATTAGATAAAGCAATATTGTATGAAGCCTCAAGGCCCCCCCATCTCTCCCCCCCCCCCCCCCCCCGCTCGACACGCCATGACAGGAGGTCACTCATTGCTTGAGTACCTCCTTCCACCCACCCGTTTTCTCTCACTTTCCTCGCCCATCTTCTCTTACACAAACAGAACATGGGAGTCATCCAGCCAATTCTCATTTGCCATATATAAAAAATATAGGGTATTAAAATGCACGAACTCAAGCCACACACCTAACCTAACCAATCTATGCACAGAAAACAAATATTTGTCAGTTCTCAAGGGTGGAATATTATTGCACGCTAACAGCCCCATTCAGAGCAGGAGATATTGGTGACCTGGAGAGGCTGTTAAAGATCCTTTACTGTTAGACTCCACTCTATAAAACACATGAATTATTGGGACCGATTAAAAGCTTTAAATTTGCATTCCCTTCAGCGCAGGCGGGAATTTACACGTGGGAAAATATTAGCGGGGCTGGTCCCAAGCCTGCACACAGAAATAACATCACATGAGACCAGGAGACATGGCAGGATGTGCAAAATACCCCCGTTGAAGAGCAGAGGTGCAACAGGTACTCTGAGAGAGAACTATCAACATCAGAGGTCCGAGACTGTTCAACACGCTTCCACTACACATAAGGGACATAACTGGCCGACCCCTCACAGTGTTCAAGAGAGAACTATCAACATCAGAGGCCCGAGACTGTTCAACACGCTTCCACTACACATAAGGGACATAACTGGCCGACCCCTCACAGTGTTCAAGAGAGAACTATCAACATCAGAGGCCCGAGACTGTTCAACACGCTTCCACTACACATAAGGGACTTAACTGGCCGACCCCTCACAGTGGTCAAGAGAGAACTATCAACATCAGAGGCCCGAGACTGTTCAACACGCTTCCACTACACATAAGGGACATAACTGGCCGACCCCTCACAGTGTTCAAGAGAGAACTATCAACATCAGAGGCCCGAGACTGTTCAACACGCTTCCACTACACATAAGGGGCATAACTGGCCGACCCCTCACAGTGTTCAAGAGAGAACTATCAACATCAGAGGTCCGAGACTGTTCAACACGCTTCCACTACACATAAGGGACATAACTGGCCGACCCCTCACAGTGTTCAAGAGAGAACTATCAACATCAGAGGCCCGAGACTGTTCAACACGCTTCCACTACACATAAGGGACATAACTGGCCGACCCCTCACAGTGTTCAAGAGAGAACTTGACAAACACCTCCAAAGGATACCTGATCAACCAGGCTGTGACTCATACGTCAGGCTGCGAGCAGCCGCGTCCAACAGCCTGGTTGACCAGTCCAGCAACCAGGAGGCCTGGTCTAGGACCGGGCCGCGGGTACGGTAATTTCCAGGGTGTATCACGGGATGACAGGCCCGTGTAACACCACCACAACACTGCCTCAACAACACTAAAAGACATACATCATTACTAACGATCTCTCAAACACAAAAGATTCTTTTGTAAGTTTAAACATGAATTGAGGGTTGTGTTGTTGTGAACGGGAGGAGGGGGGGGGGGGAGCAGGAGGGTGAAGGGGGACCAGAGGGGGTGATATATGCTCACCTTCATGTGCTATATTAGAGGGAGGTGGAGTCAGAGTCACCCTCGTGATGGTGAGGGGGAGGGGGAAGGAGGGGGGGAGGGGAAGACGTAGCAGCAGGAGAGACCCACCACGACGTGTAGTCCCGTGACTACCTCTTGTAAGGCAACTTAATTGACATTAAGTCTTGATGATAACCAAAAGAGAGTGAGTGAGTGAGTGAGTGAGTGAGTGTGTGTGTGTGTGTGTGTGTGTGTGTGTGTGTGTGTGTGTGTGTGTGTGTGTGTGTGTGTGTGTGAGAGATTGTGCATGTGTGTTTTCATAGATTAATGCAATGATTCATTTCGCACATTTGAATTGTATTTACAACTTTGTATCGAGTTAGTTTCAACAATTTTGCCAAACTTATTCCCTTCATTAGGGGCTCTAATATTGTAAACATTTGTCAGGCATTTCTGTAACTTATTTCAGTTTCCGTCTATGACCTCTCGATCAAAAGTTCTTAATGTTGAACAATGCCCATCTTGCCTACTGTTTTACTTAAACAATGGTTCACTGCCTGCTTCATCAATTTGCCTTAGTATGCCCTTATCATGTTACCATTGCTTCTCATTTTCTCCAGTGTGGCAAGTTCCCGCTCCATTTTTCCCCTTAGATCAAACCCTTCAGCTCAGGAACGAGCCTCTTTGCATATGTTTGGACCGTTTTTAGTCTTGTCTTGCCCTGTTACAGTTGAGGGTTCCATGCTAATTACGAACATTTGAGTGTCTAGCCTGAGCTGTGTACAGGGCTGTGTACAGGGCTGTGTACAGGGTTGTGTACAGGGTTGTGTACAGGGTTGTGTACAGGGCTGTGTACAGGGCTGTGTACAGGGCTGTGTACAGGGCTGTGTACAGGGCTGTGTACAGGGCTGTGTACAGGGTTGTCTACAGGGCTGTGTACAGGGCTGTGTACAGGGCTGTGTACAGGGCTGTGTACAGGGTTGTGTACAGGGCTGTGTACAGGGTTGTGTACAGGGCTGTGTACAGGGCTGTGTACAGGGTTGTGTACAGGGTTGTGTACAGGGTTGTGTACAGGGCTGTGTACAGGGTTGTGTACAGGGTTGTGTACAGGGCTGTGTACAGGGTTGTGTACAGGGCTGTGTACAGGGTTGTGTACAGGGCTGTGTACAGGGTTGTGTACAGGGCTGTGTACAGGGCTGTGTACAGGGCTGTGTACAGGGCTGTGTACAGGGCTGTGTACAGGGCTGTGTACAGGGTTGTGTACAGGGCTGTGTACAGGGCTGTGTACAGGGTTGTGTACAGGGCCCAGGACACACCTGCAGCATACCTGGAGAGAGTTTCGCAAATTATTCTGCTCCCCGAGCCTGGCATTTTGAGACCTTTGAGACGGTTCCTGGATTTGAACGTTCACATAATCCATCCTATCATGTTATCATCCATCATATGACCAGTATGATAAATGTTATTAATGTTGACCAGTATGGTAAATGTTGCAGATGTTTGCTTCTGATTTGGACTGATGTGTAGTGCCAAGTCTTTCTCATGTTCTGATACAAGTATATGTCTTCCCAGCATCCTACACTGCTCTGCTGCTTGTTCCACTCCTGGTGCCATCCTCATAACTTTGCACTGTGTTGGGTGCAGCCATTATTCATGCCACTTCTGACGTGTCCAAATTCGTTTGTAGTGAATAATAATCTAACTCTCCTTACTCGTTAGTTGTGTATCATCTGTCAACACTGATACGAAGGAGCTAATTTCATGTTAGGTTGTTAACATGTTTCAGAAACAGGATGGGCCCCCAGCAGCGACCCTTGCGGTACTCCACTCGTATCCTCACTCTATTCTGGTATCTCCGCTCTCACTGTAACCCTTTGCTTCCTTCCTGAGAGGTACTCCCTGACCCCCCTTTAGATTTTTACCGGATACATCAGCCTGCTCCCTATAGCTTGGGTAGGAGTCGCTTGTGTGGGACAGTATTAAATGCTTTCTTCAGTCGAGGAATGTGCAGACTCATTCTGCTTTTCTTTCTTGTTTGAGTCCAATGTTATTGTAAAATTCTAATAAATTTGTCAAGCAGGGTTTTCTCTCTAGTAACTTAGAGGATGATTTATTATACTTGGCTGTAGTTTAGCCGTTCCCAGCTTCTCATTTTTTAATACTGGACCCACATTAGCTATTGTCCAACATTCTGTAAGTTCTCCAGTTTCCGGAGAGGAAACAGGAGTGGTTCTGCTGCCTTCTTTAGACTCCCCGGCGATACCTGGCCTGGTCATACAGCTCTTGACATGTCCAGTTGCTGTAGATGTTTCCTAACTACTTCTGGTGTCACTGGCGTTTGTGCGAGTCCTTCCTGTGACAGTGGCCGTTTAGTCAGGCACATTACCTCCACTGGCAAATTGGCTTCCAGCTTAAACACTTGTTGGAGGCTGTTGTTTAATTGCTCACGTGATTGCTAATCATTCTAAGTGTCATTCACCCGGTCGTTGACAGTTACCTTCCCTAGAGGGTTCAGTTCCTGAACCGATCATGTGCCTCTGTAATCCTTTACACCACCGCCCACGGGATGGGTATGGGGTGCATAATAAAGAAAGAAATTGAATCTAATGTGACTATGACGCTATATTGTTCCCCAGAGTTGCTTCTCCGCCACTCTCCTAATGTTTAGGAACCCGTTATCTTGATCAATTGTGATCTCGTGTTCTGTCCTCATGAATGCGAGGGTGTTTGTTTGCTTGCTTGCATGTGTTTCAACTTTAGCTGTTTGAACTTTAGCCGACAGGTGGAAGCAGCCAGTAGTAGAGAGGTAGTAGTAAGCAGTGGCCAGCAGGTGAAGTAGTCAGCAGGAGACAGTAAGTAGAGGGACCTCAGACATAAACAGCCAGAGGGAAGGTAATCCTGTTTTAAACAGGATTACGTTCCCAGCAAGCACGTTGTTACGTGACCAGCAAGTCACTAACATCAAGGAGGGCAAGTGAGGGTGTCTATATTTACTATTTGTGCCTGCAGGGTCGACCTGTTATAGCTCCTGGATCCCGACTTTCTCACAAATCCAAACCGAATTTTCTATCATATAAACTACATATGCTCGCTCGCTCTCGCTCTCGAGCTCTCTCACACACACACACACACACACACACACACACACACACACACACACACACACACACAGGGTGGTGGAGGCTGACTCCATACACAGTTTCAAGTGTAGATATGATAGAGCCCAGGGAATACAGAGAACATATACGGCACGCATAGATGCAATAAAGCACCTAAATTATTGGGATCGTCTCAAAGCTCTCCAAATGTACTCACTAGAAAGAAGACGAGAGAGATATCAAATAATATACACCTGGAAGATACTGGAGGGCCAAGTACCAAATCTACACAGTAAAATAACAACGTACTGGAGTGAACGACATGGAAGAAAATGTAGAATAGAACCAGTGAAGAGCAGAGGTGCCATAGGCACAATCAGAGAACACTGTATAAACATCAGAGGTCCGCGGTTGTTCAACGTCCTCCCAGCAAGCATAAGAAATATTGCCGGAACAACCGTGGACATTTTCAAGAGGAAATTAGATTTATTCCTCCAAGGAGTGCCGGACCAACCGGGCTGTGGTGGGTATGTGGGCCTGCGGGCCGCTCCAAGCAACAGCCTGGTGGACCAAACTCTCACAAGTCGAGCCTGGCCTCGGGCCGGGCTTGGGCAGTAGAAGAACTCCCAGAACCCCATCAACCAGGTATCAACCAGGTATCAATAGGCTCAGGAACCTGAACACCAGTTGATAGGCGGGACCAAAGAGCCAGAGCTCAACCCCCGTAACCACAACTAGGCGAGTACACACACACACACACACACACACACACACACACACACACACACACACACACACACACACACACACGGAGGGGGCAGGGATGACACAAGAGACCATTTAGGAGTGCACTCCCTGGCACAAATACAGCACGGGGCACCCCCCCCCATTATGCCAACCCCCCTCGTTCACATTGTTGGCACCTCTCTTACACGCTCTCTTACTCAACTGTTACTGGCGCCACACCCTCCAGGAGCCACACCCCCACCACCACCACCACACCCTCCAGGAGCCACACCCCCACAACAGCAGGAGCCACACCCCCACCACCACAACACAGTGCAGTACCCAGCAAGAGGAGGAGTGTAGTACCCAGCAAGAGGAGGAGTGTAGTACCCAGCAAGAGGAGGAGTGTAGTACCCAGCAAGAGGAAGAGTGCAGTACCCACCTGCCTGACAGAGGGCGCGGGTCTTGAGGAAGGCCAGGGTGAGCCTCATGACGGAGGCCTTGTCCAGCTGGGCGACCGTCTGGGGCGGGAGTGGGAGGGCGCTGGCCAGCTCCGTGAAGATCTCGCTCTCCTTCCCGCGTCGACATCTTGCTGCATCCCGAGACTTCTCCTTCCGCTTCTCACTGTTCCTGCAACACCCCGTCGAACATTGTTACTCTGGTGTTCACTGTAATGTTACCATACAACACTGTAATGTTACCATACAACACTGTAATGTTACCATACAACACTGTAATGTTACCATACAACACTGTAATGTTACCATACAACACTGTAATGTTACCATACAACACTGTAATGTTACCATACAACACTGTAATGTTACCATACAACACTGTAATGTTACCATACAACACTGTAATGTTACCATACAACACTGTAATGTTACCATACAACACTGTAATGTTACCATACAACACTGTAATGTTACAACACTGTAATGTTACCATACAACACTGTAATGTTACCATACAACACTGTAATGTTACCATACAACACTGTAATGTTACCATACAACACTGTAATGTTACCATACAACACTGTAATGTTACCATACAACACTGTAATGTTACCATACAACACTGTAATGTTACCATACAACACTGTAATGTTACCATACAACACTGTAATGTTACCATACAACACTGTAATGTTACCATACAACACTGTAATGTTACCATACAACACTATAATGTTACAACACTGTAATGTTACCATACAACACTGTAATGTTACCATACCACACTGTAATGTTACCATACAACACTGTAATGTTACCATACAACACTGTAATGTTACAACACTGTAATGTTACCATACAACACAATAAAGAACAAAGGTTGGACAAAGTATTGTAGCGCCAGAATGGTCCAATAATAATGGAGGAGGAACACCAAGGAGGGCAGTAAGAGGGGCAGACACAGCCACACGTCCACAGTGTGGCTCGGGGAGACATGATCACCACATACAAGATTCTCAGGGGGATTGACAGGGTAGACAAGGATGGACTATTTAACACGGGTGGTACACGAACAAGGGGACACAGGTGGAAGCTGAGTGCCCAAATGAGCCACAGAGACATTAGAAAACACTTGTCAGTGTCAGAGTAGTTAGTAAATGGAATGCATTAGGCAGTGGTGTGATGGAGGCTGACTCTATACACAGTTTCAAGTGTAGATATGATGGAGCTTGAGAAGCTCAGGCATATGTACACCAGTGGTTGACGGTTGAGAGGCGGGACCAAAGAGCCAGAGCTCAACGTTTTGTGCATTAAACTACCCCCAGGTGGTCAGTACAGGATGACGGGTACAGGTAGAGACGGGGAGAGAGGGAGAGGAAAAGAGGGACAAAGCGAGAGAGAGGGTGAGGGTGGGGGTGAGAGAATTTAACAGGTCACTTCCCATGGATAGGATGAGGCTCCCACGAATATCCCCCCTCCACACCAGCACCCCCCTCCCCTTCACACCACCCCACACCCCTGCCTCACCCCATTATGGCAAGGTAGACATTAACCCCTAAATATTACCTGTTGTTACGGACTCGTCACCGCTGTGAGTATGGCCTGGTAATTCCAGCGCCATCTATGAGTCAGTACTCAAACTCCCCTGTAACTGGACGCTACGTAGACAACGCCATCTATGGGTGGTGGCGTGACTGTGGCAAATGGTTCAAGATTCCTGCCTTGGTCAGACAGAGATCTTTGTGGATGACCTCCGGTGAGGTGGTGGCTCAAGATCAGCGCCATCTGTTGTGCTACGGAACACAATGTCAACATCCCCAGAGAGTAAGTGTTGCTTCCTGGTTTTACTAGTACCTTCCACTTAACTGATGACGTGTCTGTGTCCCCAGAGGTGACCTGGGGCAGCAGTTGTACTGAGGACGACAGTTTACCTTGGGCACTCCACGTACTCTCCGCTTGGTCCTGGAAGACGACCACGTAAGCCGCCGCCGATCTTAGCAGTGTGGCTAGAGATCGGCGTACCCGGGAATTGCCTTGGGAGAGTACTTAGACAACAGTGAGGTGCCTGTAGTGGAGTGCTGCTAGCCTCTTGCTAGGGACTCCTGCCAGGGGATCGCTACCCCTGTATAGTGGCGTGACTCCGGTCAGTGTGTGGTTGAAGTCCTCTACCAGCGTGCAGTTGGAGGGCGACAGTGGGGTAAAGGCACCTTGTGACACTGTGGATTGGCCCACGTACAGGTAAAACTCGCCAGTGTTCCCCAGTACGGTTGGAGAAGGTACCGGGTGTGGTGGACACACTGGGATTGACGAACATTGCAGTGTGCGCGTGTTAAGTGTCCTGTGTGAGAGCGACATTGTTGTATATACGTATAGTAATATTCCATATTCCCTTATTATCTCTATTTATGGTGTTGTAAATATATTGGTGAAGGGAATAGTGTTTTGTTCATCCCTTATTAATCCATTGCAATGTCTTGCCAATTCCTTGAAAGCCACTACTAACTTGGGGTCGAATACAACACGTAGGTTCATCCATCAAGAACCCGGTTACTGGTCCACAGTGACCGTAACACCTGTGTCTGGCGTAGATGTACCTGGCGTACCTGTGTCTGGCGTAGATGTACCTGGCGTACCTGTGTCTGGCGTAGATGTACCTGGCGTACCTGTGTCTGGCGTAGATGTACCTGGCGTACCTGTGTCTGGCGTAGATGTACCTGGCGTACCTGTGTCTGGCGTAGATGTACCTGGCGTACCTGTGTCTGGCGTAGATGTACCTGGCGTACCTGTGTCTGGCGTAGATGTACCTGGCGTACCTGTGTCTGGCGTAGATGTACCTGGCGTACCTGTGTCTGGCGTAGATGTACCTGGCGTACCTGTGTCTGGCGTAGATGTACCTGGCTTACCTGTGTCTGGCGTAGATGTACCTAGCTTACCTGTGTCTGGCGTAGATGTACCTAGCTTACCTGTGTCTGGCGTAGATGTACCTAGCTTACCTGTGTCTGGCGTAGATGTACCTAGCTTACCTGTGTCTGGCGTACCTGTGTCTGGCGTAGATGTACCTAGCTTACCTGTGTCTGGCGTAGATGTACCTAGCTTACCTGTGTCTGGCGTAGATGTACCTGGCGTACCTGTGTCTGGCGTACCTGTGTCTGGCGTACCTGTGTCTGGCGTACCTGTGTCTGGCGTAGATGTACCTAGCTTACCTGTGTCTGGCGTAGATGTACCTAGCTTACCTGTGTCTGGCGTAGATGTACCTAGCTTACCTGTGTCTGGCGTAGATGTACCTAGCTTACCTGTGTCTGGCGTAGATGTACCTGGCGTACCTGTGTCTGGCGTAGATGTACCTGGCGTACCTGTGTCTGGCGTAGATGTACCTGGCGTAGCTGTACCTGGCGTACCTGTGTCTGACGTAGATGTACCTGGCGTAGATGTACCTGGCGTACCTGTGTCTAGCTTACCTGTGTGTGGCGTAGGTATGCCTGCGCGGGTGGAGCCAGGGGAGAGGGTTGGTGAGGAAGGGCAGAGGCAGTGTTGGAGGGGGCGACGTGCCCAGGTACAGACAGGGCTGGAGGTGCCACCAGGCATCATCTGGGATGTTGCTCTTCATCTCCGGCACTCGTCACTGTGCCAGACTCCCGCTCCCTCCACTAACGATAACTCCATCCATCAACCACACCCAGCATAGCCTGCACCTCTCTCCTGGGACAGTTTACAAGTCATCTACCTTAAAGGGACGCTTTCCAGAGTCTTGTTTACAACTGTGATTACTTTAACCTTAGCTGGAGATTATTTACAAATATGACTACCTGTTTACATGGTATTGCATAAACAAATATAACACTTCTCTCGGCTATTATTTTACATTCTCATTTAATTTAAGACCTCGGCTTTCTTCGCAAACATAGCATCGTCTTTGTAAGGTTTCAAAATAATATTTTGGACTATTTCCGGCAACTTTTGGATAGGCCTAGAAGGTAGGAGGATGTGCCGGTGGTGTGGTGGGCCGAGTGAGCGTGGTACTGGGGTCCAGGTGTGACCTCTTGCTACTAGTTCTATCTTGCTCCTTATCGCTGATACTGGCAGAGACCTGTCCCTGTCTTCATCCCACTCTCGCCTCGGCCTCTGGCTCCAATATTCTCGTCCAGAAACGGTGTGTGTGTTAGTGGCTTGTAAGACTGTAAGAACACGTTAGAGTGTAGTCTTACAACCCAATGTACCTTCTTGTGTTATATAAATATCTCTGATAGCCTCGAGGCTGCCCTTGTAGTGTGCTCTGGGGCTACGGTTGCAGCCTCCACGATAGCCTCGAGGCTGCCCTTGTAGTGTGCTCTGGGGCTACGGTTGCAGCCTCCACGATAGCCTCGAGGCTGCCCTTGTAGTGTGCTCTGGGGCTACGGTTGCAGCCTCCACGATAGCCTCGAGGCTGCCCTTGTAGTGTGCTCTGGGGCTACGGTTGCAGCCTCCACGATAGCCTCGAGGCTGCCCTTGTAGTGTGCTCTGGGGCTACGGTTGCAGCCTCCACGATAGCCTCGAGGCTGCCCTTGTAGTGTGCTCTGGGGCTATGGTTGCAGCCTCCACGATAGCCTCGAGGCTGCCCTTGTAGTGTGCTCTGGGGCTACGGTTGCAGCCTCCACGATAGCCTCGAGCCTGCCCTTGTAGTGTGCTCTGGGGCTACGGTTGCAGCCTCCACGATAGCCTCGAGGCTGCCCTTGTAGTAGCCCTTGTAGTGTGCTCTGGGGCTACGGTTGCAGCCTCCACGATAGCCTCGAGGCTGCCCTTGTAGTGTGCTCTGGGGCTACGGTTGCAGCCTCCACGATAGCCTCGAGGCTGCCCTTGTAGTGTGCTCTGGGGCTACGGTTGCAGCCTCCACGATAGCCTCGAGGCTGCCCTTGTAGTGTGCTCTGGGGCTACGGTTGCAGCCTCCACGATAGCCTCGAGGCTGCCCTTGTAGTGTGCTCTGGGGCTACGGTTGCAGCCTCCACGATAGCCTCGAGGCTGCCCTTGTAGTGTGCTCTGGGGCTACGGTTGCAGCCTCCACGATAGCCTCGAGGCTGCCCTTGTAGTGTGCTCTGGGGCTACGGTTGCAGCCTCCACGATAGCCTCGAGGCTGCCCTTGTAGTGTGCTCTGGGGCTACGGTTGCAGCCTCCACGATAGCCTCGAGGCTGCCCTTGTAGTGTGCTCTGGGGCTACGGTTGCAGCCTCCACGATAGCCTCGAGGCTGCCCTTGTAGTGTGCTCTGGGGCTACGGTTGCAGCCTCCACGATAGCCTCGAGGCTGCCCTTGTAGTGTGCTCTGGGGCTACGGTTGCAGCCTCCACGATAGCCTCGAGGCTGCCCTTGTAGTGTGCTCTGGGGCTACGGTTGCAGCCTCCACGATAGACTCGATGCAGCTGTGGCCGAACAACCCCACACAATAGACCGCAGCTACTTCCGCTGGAAAAACTGGTAGTGGTTAGCGAAGAGAGTTCTAAGCTTATCACAACAGTACCAAATCATCTCCAGGATTTGCAGGACAGTTTGGGTCCAGTCCACCTTGAAGGCCATCTTCCGCCCCTCCTCACCCCAACCCATCACTGTATACACACGATATTAACAAAACAATTGTCACCGACTGAGCGTTTGACGAGGAGCCGGCAGCCAGCCTATGTCCCCAAGGTCACCACAGTTTATCAACACGCTGGAGAGCCGGAGGGCGATCACACAAGGGCATCAACTTGCCCGCTAGATCTCCCGCTACTCACTGATAGGTAAACACTGATAGGAAGTTACTGAGGGTAAACAGTGATAGGTAGCCAGTGATAGGTCGCACCACCTCCAACAACAGGCGGACCAATACCGCACAAGCAGTGTTATCTTGTCACTGTTATCTTACCAAAGAGGACTCCACCGCACCTAGGTTATTACACCGAGAAGTCCCAGCCACACCTCGGTGTTATCAGGCAGGCCTATAACACTGTCACCATAACGCCCTCAGCCTTCACACTCGTCGTCACACTGGAGGGCACGGTATGTGTGGCGCCAGTGTCACTCGGTACTGACACTGGCAGTAGCGTCTGGTGCCATGCAAGGAGGGGGGGGAATGTGTCACATGGCACAGGTCACTGCCAAACTCTGAGTGCCAGCCTTCCCGACAACAGCTGTATCTGTATTGACCTATTTTTGCCGTATGGATAATATCTCGGCCAATACGTCTGTGTATTTTTGTGCACAGGTGAGAACAGTTGCCCCCTCCCTCTGTCCCTCACCTGCCTTCCTCTCCCTCACCTGCCTCGTCACGCAGTTGCTCCCTCCCCCCCCATCTGGCACCGCGTAGTGCCACCCCCACGTCCTCTCACGCGCCTACTGCCTTGCGAGGAGTGCCAAGACCCTGGCGCCACGTGGTCTGGTCACGAGTCTGGCACCCAGCAGTGTGTGGGGGCGGCCACACATGCGGATACTGAGAGGTGTGGGGGGGGGAGGTGTGTAGGGGTGGGGGGGGGGAGAGGTGTGGTATTAGGATGACAGAAATCTCACTTGTGTCACAACAACGAGGTCACGGCCGCTGAACACAACAGCCTGCTTGATGGGGTTCTTGGAGTTTTTAAACTCTCCAAGCCCGGCCCGAGGCCAGGCTTGACTAGTGAGTTTGGTCCACCAGGCTGTTGCTTGGAGCGGCCCGCAAGCCCACATATCCACTACAGCCTGGTTGGTCCGGCACTCCTTGCAAGAACTTACTTAAGTAACTCTTGAATACATCCACCATTGTTGCCCTAAACGCTATGCGTATTAGTGGCTTTAGGTATTGTATGTACCACTAGCTCTATCTATAAATCCAAACTTATGTTTGTAAATGCATCAATGTATGTATTTTTCCTGAATAAAATATTATTATTTCGGCAATATTTCTAATGCTTCCTGGGAGAGTGATGACGGTATAATGTTAGGACAAGGTGCGTGGCCCCCATGACTAGTGGTGGACCACAGTGTGGACCACAGCGTGGACCACAGTGTGGACCACAGTGTGGACCACAGGGTGGACCACAGGGTGGACCACAGGGTGGACCACAGGGTGGACCACAGGGTGGACCACAGGGTGGACCACAGGGTGGACCACAGTGTGGACCACAGTGTGGACCACAGGGTGGACCACAGGGTGGACCACAGGGTGGACCACAGGGTGGACCACAGGGTGGACCACAGGGTGGACCACAGGGTGGACCACAGCGTGGACCACAGTGTGGACCACAGTGTGGACCACAGGGTGGACCACAGGGTGGACCACAGGGTGGACCACAGGGTGGACCACAGGGTGGACCACAGTGTGGACCACAGTGTGGACCACAGTGTGGACCACCGCAGGTAAGACCCTAGACCCACACAACCAGAGGACCTCAACAGCTGAGCCAACCACAACACACAATGTAAACAAAGTAATTCTGATTTTATCAACAGTCAATAGTGTCAAAAATGGCGGGTATTAATAGGACCCGGAGGGTGCACCCAAGCTGGGAGGGGCACCGCTGGGCCGCACCAACATGTGTACCGTGGGACAGTGTACCGGTGGGACAGTGTACCGTTGGGACAGTGTACCGTTGGGACACTGCACCGTTGGGACAGTGTACTGTTGGGACACTGAACCTGGCGTATACCTGAACCGTAGCTAGAGGGAAGGAACGATGTCCAACCACTTTGTCGCTCTACCGTCCAGTCCGTCTCACTTCTTGCAGGTCGGCGTTCAATCCCCGACCGTCAAAGTGGTTGGGCACTTTCTTCCCTCCACCCTATCCTAAATCCTTATCCTCATCCCTTCCAAGTGCTATATAGACGTAATGGCTTGGTGCTTTTCCCCTGATAGTTATATTATCTTCCCAAGTACGGCCTTAGACCAGCCTTGCCTTGCTTGGTCCAGCAGGCTGTTGCTTGGAGCGGCCCGCAGGCTCACACATCCACCACAGCCTGGTTGGTCCGGCACTTCCTGCAGGAACCTGTTTACAGGATTCTTGATCTTCCACTGCGAAGGTACTGTACACAGGACTATCTGCCGCGTCTTACACTGGCAGGAGATATATTCTGGCTGGACTTGTGAACTTGTATTTTCATGTTTGATCTTATTTCCTCCAGCCACACCCCGGCCACACCTCCGGCCACACCCCGGCCACACCTCCAGCCACACCCCCAGCCACACCTACGGCCACACCCCCAGCCACACCCCGGCCACACCCCGGCCACACCTACGGCCACACCCCCGGCCACACCTCCAGCCACACCCCGGCCACACCTACGGCCACACCTCCAGCCACACCCCCGGCCACACCTCCAGCCACACCCCGGCCACACCTACGGCCACACCCCCGGCCACACCCCGGCCACACCTACGGCCACACCCCCAGCCACACCCCGGCCACACCTCCAGCCACACCCCGGCCACACCTACGGCCACACCCCCGGCCACACCTCCAGCCACACCTACGGCCACACCTCCAGCCACACCCCCGGCCACACCTCCAGCCACACCCCGGCCACACCTACGGCCACACCCCCGGCCACACCTCCAGCCACACCCCGGCCACACCTACGGCCACACCTCCAGCCACACCCCGGCCACACCTCCAGCCACACCCCGGCCACACCTCCAGCCACACC